AAAAAAAAAAAAAAAAAAAAAAAAAAAAAAAAAAAAAAGAAAAAGTATAAAAAACACATCCAAAGAAAGAGCAGCTTGCATAGAACTTTATTATGAGCTTGCTATTTCCAGTATTACTGTTGGTATTTTATACCAGCAAATTTTTTTCTCTAAAGGGCCAAATAGTAAATATTCTGGGCTTGTGTGTCACATATACTGTTACATAGCCGTACTTTTTTTTTTAAATTAAAAAAACAACCTATTAAAAATGTAAACATCATTCTTAGCCGTGGGCCATCACTTGGCCACCACTGCTTTATGTTAATCCATTACGAGGCTCCATAGACTCTGTCCTCAGTATGTTGAGCATCCTAATCGTTCCTCGCTTTGCACTTGCAAATCAGTGGAGGAACTTTGAGATTCTCACCCATCTCATAAGTTATTAGGCTCAGAATAAGACTAGTGGAAGCAAGAAAACTGTGATTATGACCAATAGCAATTTGGTGACCAGTTCCTAATACTGGGGACAAAAGAATCCTCTCTGTGACTAAATAAGCATATCGGACCATTTCTTAAAGAGCTCCAGAGACATTTAAGGACTTAATAAAGAAAAACAAAAAACAACCCACCCTAACTCCTGCAAAACAGGATCAATCAACAGGGCTTAGAAAGCGTATGTAGTGCCATGATTTCTGATGGAGATTCTACGAGCTGCCCCGGGCTAGGCAGGAACCCAACGAGGACGGGAAGCAGGAACTGGGAAGCAGGAGAGAGTTCCGAGTGTTTATTCCCTGGAAGAAGGAACCCATATCCTTCCCGGCTGACCGCATCAGTTAGCACCCAAGGGAAGGTGAGACCCTACTCTAAGAATGGGCCCTGTTAGCTTTTCAAAACTGGGTTCCACAAAGGAGCTTAAGGACCTAATAAAAATGCCTGGGCTTCTGAAAAGCCAACGTTAAAATAATTCTAGACACTACAGCAGTACTGTCACACACCACCACCAGCTCAAAAGAGAGAAAGCTTAAGGTAGCAGCAGACTGAGCTGCCCTTTCAATGGTTTTTAATTTTATCTTTCATTCCCCACCTCCCCAGAGTGTCTCCTACTTTTTTCTGGCACCTGGCTCTGTGTACTGCGCAGCAACTTTTCTCCTGATGGGATGGTGGAGCTGAAAGAAAAGAGAGGGTCAATGCCAGGGAAGGCCGGGATTCACGGCACTACCAACTGGGCAGCCCTCCCCAGGGAGGACAATGGCACGATAGTCACTGCCCAGCTGAGCCTGGGCGAGTACAGAGACCGAATTCATTGTCTGTCCTCAGCCACCAGAAGAGGAAGGAAAAAAACAGCGTTGAGGTCATTCACGAAACACTGCTGAGGCCCACGGGCAAAAGGCAGTGCCTCTGAGTCTCCAATGATATATTTTTCCGTATAGCCTTTCTTAAAAACTGCACTCATTCTTCAATGACTCTGCTTATCCTGGGAGACACATTTTTAAATGCATAAATATACATGAACAACAACAGACATGAGCTTTGTGGTTTTCAATGGACAAAATGTGACTATTTCCATTGAGTCATTAAACGTTTCCACCAATAAGGAATGTGGCTTTGTTGAAAGGTAGTGACATTGGCCTTTTTTTTTTTTTTTTTTTGGCTGAGTTGCACAGCTTGTGGGATCTTAGTTCCCCGACCAGGGATTGAACCTGTGCCCCGGACAGTGGAAGCACGGAGTCCTAACCATTGGACCACCAGGGAATTCCTCGTACAAATTCTTTTTACTGCCTATTTAGATTCTTATAAATATAGGATCTAGGATGCATCACAGCAACCAGATAAATAAAACACAAATTCCCTTCGAAATGATAATGTATCCTCTGTAACTGGATTTTCCTCTCTATCCTCCTTTTCCACTAGAATTCTGAAAATTAAATACACGAAAATTCATCGGCTTTGATTTTTGCATAGAAACACATTCAACGTTGGTCATTAAATAAGATACGCCAACTTTCCCATAAGGCTCTCCCTAATTTGGTTCTCTGAGCCAACCAGAGAATTGTGGGGATCTAATTAGGCCTTCAGTATACACAGTTTCAAGGTAGAAGGAACGGGGTCTGCTGGAGATGGCTCAAAATAAATGACGGTATGGTGAGAAATCTGCATTACATACATTGAGTCAGATGCAGTTCTACGGAATCTCGGTATATGCGGTAATAACCCTATCAGAGAAGATGTCTCCCAGTAAACGCACACACTGGTAGGAACTTCCTCAACTAAGACAAATGAGAAAATGAGTTTTTTTGGAGAGCACTGCTTCTTGCCATCACCCCCAGCTTCGATCTGAGGCTGGCAAGTTCAGCTGGCTTGCTGCCCTCAGAGGCTCCCTCCTGTGGCTTGGCGTGGTCCCGGCTTAGTGATTCAGACATCAGAGATGGCTCAAGTCTGAAAGGCCTTTTCCCACCCTCAGCAGTCCAAGCTCCATCTTTCCTCCAGACACAGGCCTCCTACAAGCGCACAAGCTACTGTGTTTAGAAGGCCTGCCTCTGTCCACCTATAACAGTTAAGACGGATGGGTGAGGGAGCCTCAAACCTGAGTTTCATTTGCCTTTCATTCTCTCGACCCCAAGCCCCAATTTACTCTTCTGGCTGTTGCAATAAGAAGCAATGTCACAATGAAGGCACAGCATGGGGAAGGAACTAGTTCCTTGGCTGAAACTTTCATGGCTGAAAGGACGTAGTTAACAATTCTTCTTTTTCATACAAACCATATTCCACCCATAGAACGGCACCGTTTAATTTGTCAGCAAGGGTGATGGATTTGGGAATGGATTTATTTGCAAGTTCACCAAATCCCCATGTGACTAACATAAGAATCAGAAGTGAAATATGAGGACAGCCCCAAAACAAGGTTACCCCTTGACTCTTGAACACAACAGGCAATGTGAAAGCTGAAAATTGGGGTAACCGACAAGGACAGAGTACAACGCAAAAGAGGAAACAGATAAGTTCCCCTCATTGCAAGTATATACTTCAAACAGCAAAACCTAATGTGACCAAGAAGGAATAAGGGTTGGACAGGTAGGTAATACAAGTTAAGAGCATAAACCACGACTGGTTTAAAGTGGTTAAAGTCACCACTGGATGTCAGGAAACTTATTTCAAATTTTCCTTCCATAAACACATACAGGGTAATTCCACGTTAATCTCTCTTTTCTGAATTTAAACGGCACTCACTATGCCCCTTTCATTTGGCCATTTAATCAATTACTTGTATGTAGGCCTGGATTCTGCCATCTGTTCCTTTTAAATTTCCTTTTTTCCTTCCAGCGTAAAAAAGTCATAGCTAATATTTCCTGCCTTTTGATGCTGTTGGGATCGCCATTTCCTGTTAACACTCTCCTGCAACCTCTACCCTCCCTAAAATCATTGAGTAGCTAGTAACTCAAATAACTCTGGCTATAAAGCTCCAAATCTTTTCGGAAAGTAGATATCTAAATACATTAATATGTTTTCAAAGATATTTTCAAATCATCTGATCTTTGATCAACAAGTTGTGCTCTTTTTTCACCTGTTCACTTTTTTACACTGTTCTATAGCTGGATTTCCTATTGTAGAGAAGTACAGACGTCCCTCGGTGTTCGTGGGGAATTGGTTGCAGGACCTCCCCCCGACAAGAGACCAAAATCCGCGGATGCTCAAGTCCATTACATAAAATGGCGTGGTATAGTCGGCCCTACGTATCCGCCAATGCGGAAGGAAGTTTCACGAGTTCCGCATCTATTTTGTGAATTCTCCAACCTCTACTCTATGCTTACTTGTTCAGTTTTCCTCCCTTTCTGCTCATTTCACCCTATCCTTAAATGTTGCACCCTAAAAACCAAAATAATCCTTCACCCTCTGTAAAACACTTTTAGAATGAAAATTCTCTCTGGAGCTTTAGTTTATATCCTTTCCCAGCACAACAACGAATACTCAGAGGAGATCTGTACACCTTACTGTGAACTTGCCTTCAGTTATGCCTATCCAAAGTTACTAGCTAACAGTCTTGGAAAATATATGGTTTCTGTTCACATTGCCATCCCAAAGGGGCTGTTACTCCTATAAACTATATTAGTAAAAACTGTACGTATAAAGGTTACCCCCATCCCATAACTCATAGGAACTCTGAGAGTAAGTAACTCCAGAAATGTTACTTGTGTTATTAATCTTCAGTCTAAACTTTCAAGTAATGTTATTCTGACTTGAAGTGCAAAACAGCTGAATACAGAATCTAGCCTGTGAAACAACTTTAAAAATTATTCCTGAAAAAAATAAACTTGTTCAGAACCATCTGGTCTGTACTAAGGGACTCTCAGGATTTCAGAGCTAAAAGGTACTTCGTTGGCCACTGGTGCAACTTCACTTAACTACTGAGGAAGAACAGAGGGAAAAGACATTCTCCACCTCCACAGGTAAGGCGCAGAGACCGCAGGTACCAAATGTTCTCCAGGTAACTGCCATCAAAACCTCTGACCTCCCACAGAGGACAACGTGCGAGGGAAAGGAGAGGAAAAGAAAACCCCAATTTTTGAATAGACGGGCTAACATCCTAGACTTCCCTCTATGGATGAGGCTGACCTGGGTGATCTGTTCTGATTCTGGGCTGGATGGGCAAAGTCCGAATTCACCTTCCAGACCTAGCTTGACACAGCGTTACCTGGCACATCAGAATCACAATGGAGAGCTTTCAGAAAAATACCGATGCCGGGGCCCCACTTCTAGAAATTCGAATTTAACTGGTCTGGGATGGAGGCCCGGGCATTTAAAAACCATCCAGTGATTCTGGCGCACGGCAGAGCCGAGGGGCTCTGGAACCAGTTCCCTCTCACAATCAGCGGGATGCTGATAATTACAACGATAACGTGACAGGCAAGGCCTCTGCTCTCCCGGCCTCAGAGAAAGTCAGGCTCACGGGCCGCCAGGCTCAGGGGCCTCCAGGGACCTCCTTCACTTCCCAAATGATACCCAGCCGCCCCCGGAGTCACCTCGAGAGCTCGTAGCTTGCAAATCCTGGGCGGTGGGCGAGCAGGGACCTACTTCCGGTGGGAAACAGGATACGCGGTGCGTGGGAGAGGGTGTTGCCGGGGCGACTAGACGTAAGCGTCCGGTGCTGGTCATGTGGCCATGACGCGCAGGAAGTCCCGCCCCCGTAGTTGACGTCCCGTCCTAGCCGCGTTCCGCACCACTCAGGGGGAGTGGCGCGAAATGGGGGCTCCGCCTCTCGGGGCGGAGCGTGGGGACGGCCGGTGCAGGGTGTAGTGACCGGATCGCGGCACTCGGGGGGCGGGGGGGGGGGGGGGGGGGGGGGGGGCGGGCACTCCTGTGCCTCGGAGTCGGGCGGTGGGTCGGGAAGACGACGGTCGTTTCTGCACGGCTTCCGCCTCCGCTACAGTTCCTTGGCATTTAACTCTTCGCTCTGAACTTTCTCACTTCCGTTCCCTTGTGTTTTGTTAGCCTTTTCTTTTTTTTTTTTGTGGTATGCGGGCCTCTCACTGTTGTGGCCTCTCCCGTTGCGGAGCACAGGCTCCGGACGCGCAGGCTCAGCGGCCATGGCTCACAGGCCCAGCCGCTCCGCGGCATGTGGGATCCTCCCGGACCGGGGCACGAACCCGTGTCCCCTGCATCGGCAGGCGGACTCTCAACCACTGCGCCACCAGGGAAGCCCAGCCTTTGCTTTTTTTAAAAACTAAAACGGAGGGTGGTCGTGGCCCAGGCTTTGAAAATAGTCACCCAGATCTGAGTTTGAGTGCGATTCTAGCGCTTAGTTTATTAACCTCCCTAAGCCTCGGGTTCTCGCCCCGAAGAGGTGAGAAATACCTGGTGCACAGGGCCTGGTGCGTGATAGCTGACAAAAATTGGTGCCTATTAATTAACATTTTTTAAATCATCACAATAATTATCAGCAATACCTGTTCTGTTAGCATCGCAGAGGATCAATAATAACCAAGCATAAATCACTCAAAGCCTAAGTGGCATAATCCTTTCCGGGGTAATTTGGCAAATTGCGCCAAGAGCCCTAAAAGGGGGCCTATTTCTGTACTAGAATGTTCACTTCTGAGAATTTATTCCAAGGAAAACCAGACGTAAACCGGATGCTCATTGCAGAATTATTTCAAAAAGTGGAAACAACTTAAATGCCTAATAAGAGTAAATGGCTAACTCAATTAGACTTTATCAATGGTGTGAACATTATTACCATGTTATTCCTGTACTCAAGAAGAATCAAATACTATAGAAGAATATTAACAAATTAGTACTGGATGCCTACTGTGTGTCAAGTATTATTCCATATTTGCATTGTCCATTGCAGCCACTTGCCATACGTGGCTGTTAAGAGCTTGAGATGTAGTCTGAACTGAGGTGGGCTGGAAGGGTAAATTACACAGTGGCTATTGCAGAATTCGTTTGAAAAAATGAATGTGAGATACCTCATTTTAAAATAGTAACAATATGTTAGGGAAGGACTGTTTAGGTTAAGTAAAATATAAGATTAAAATTAATTTTATCTTTTTACTTTATTAATGTGGCTACTAGAACATTCAGCATTCTATATGGGGCATGCAATATATAATTATATACGTCTATTGGACAGCGGTATTCCATTTACTGGATATATGGTGGTAAACAAGACAGTTTTTGACCTCCTAAAATGAGCACCACTGAGTAGAGTGCAGACAGTAAATAACATCATTGTACACCATGGTAAGCTCTTTGCAAAAAACATAGCAGGGTAAGGGCCAGAAAGTGTGTTTATATTGAGGGTGGTTATTTTAGACAAGATTCGTCCTCCAGAAAGTGGATGTGGGAGGAACTAAGATATTTGTGGATAGAAGGGTGGGGAGATAGCAGGGGTGTCTTCTAGGAGAAGTCAGGGATGGATTGAGGCTGATAAATCAATTGGGTCCTGGTGGAGTCTTTGCAAGAGGGAAGAAACCACATCAGAGGAGGAAGGGAAGAGAGAAGAGGGGTAAGATACCAGGGAGAAAGAGCTTAGGGGGCCCCTGGTAAAAGCAGAACAAAGCAGGCCTGGAGTGGATGTGTTTCAGGTCGAGTAGTTACTGGACTACTATGATTTATATACAATAGTACTATGAGTGTGTGTATATATTCTCTCTTTCTGGGTGTAAGGTGTTCAGAGTCGAAAGGGAGACCCACCAGGCCAGGGGCTCAAATTCCACCTACACTGTAGGTCCAGACTCCCCGGTTTGATGCCTTGGCACACATGGTCCAAGATGGTGCTTCACTGCACCTTCTAGCGGGTGGGAAGGCAGAAAGGTGAAGCCAGGGCATGCCACTTCCGTCTAAAGTAGGGTTTCTCCACCTTGGCATAATTCACATTTGAGGCTTGATAATTCTGTGTTCTGGGAGCTCTCTTGTGTGTTGTAGGATATTTAGTAGCATCCCTGGCTTCTACCCACTAGATGCCAGTAGCATCATCCCCCAGTTTTGACAGCCAAAAATGTCCCCAGACATTGCCAAATGTCCCCTGGGGGCAAAATGACCCCCCCCCGGCGGTTGACAGCACGTCCGCACCACGTTCCGTCCGCACCCCAGCAGTTAAGAACCATTGCTTTAACTACTAAGTTTCCTACAACACTTCTGCTCAAATCTCGCTGATGGCCAGAACTTCATCACTCAGCCATCCTAAGGGTAAAGGAATCTTGGCACTGTCTGCCTGCCAGGTACCCAGCTAAAAGCGAGCTCAAGAAGGCGGCGAGAAGCTAGCTGATTCTCCCACACCCTGGTTGCTACAGGGAATGGAAATTCCATAGCTGATTGAGGAGGTGGCCCTGTTTTTTTCATCTTCCAGGCAGAGTTTTCATCATCATTCATTGTAATTCACCTGCATGAAAATATTGATGGTGAAGAAAACTAAGCACTTAAAAAGTAACAATTGTTACTCCAGAGAGCTGACCACGGAGAGAAACTGGATTCTGAAATGGAGGCTGGAGGTTGGATTTTTGACTTGTGTTTTGGCGCCATCTGGTGGAAATACAGAAACCCTACCGTTCCTCACCCACTTGTCTGGTATTTTCTTTCATTAGTCTCAGCCCTAAACCTCAAATTATAAATAACCCTTAACTGGATTTTAGCAAAGTTTTAAAGGGTCCTTTAAGAGGAGGGACTCTTTAAAGCAGGGTTTCTCACCCTTGGCATGACTGACCTTCTGAGGTCCTTTGTACTGTAGGATTTTTAGCAGCATCCTTGACCTCTATCCACTGGAGGCCAGTAGCACCATTTGTGACAACTAAACATTGCCAAATCTTCCTTGGTGGGGGGACAAATTCGTCCCCAGTTGAGAACCATTCCTTGAAAGAGAGTATCTAAATTCCACCATCTATGAAGCCATATGCCATGGCAATCTCATGTCAGTGAATCCTGGGAGTGGGACCGGCGTGCCTGGGAGGGATGGGAAGACAGTGCTGGGAGAAAACTCCAGCTCTAGCCACAGCATGACACGTTCTGTTGTGGACACTCTGGACAGCTCTGCTTCTGCTTGTCCCAAGAGCTGGAGATGAGGTTGACTGAGAGATGCCAAGAGGCCTGGTGAGAGGGTGTAGCCTTTCTTTAAACCCCATGGCGATGAAACCTACAGACGCCAATGCCTAAAGCCGGAAGTAGCTCAGAATCATCCCAGAGTGTGACACTCAGCCCCAGAGTCCCCCTTAGGGACGCGCAGGTGTGGACGGTCCCGCCAGGTTTGGGAAGCCATAGCTAATCTTGTGGGGCTCTGTGGATCCCTCGGGCACCCCTCTGTCACCTGAGTACTGTGGAGAAACTGGTTGGGAGCCAGTTCCGTTGCCTGGAAACAGTCCCGAGTCTTTTCCTGGAAGCTGGGAAAAGGAAAGGTCAATTTCCCAGGAGCATCCCCTAGCACACCCGACTTTCGGCCCCTCTGAGGTCTCTCCTCCAATTTCCTTTTGATTTTGATTCCTTCGAAAGTCCCTGTCCCACCACCCACACTCTCCCTTTCAGTGGAGGACAAAATGAAGATGCCCAGGTGCGGATTCCATCATTTCAAAATATATTGCCATCTGAACTCCGCATTCACTGTCCTCTTGTTTTAGAGAAAGAGTATCTTGGCTTCGGCCTAAGCTGGTCCATTCTTTTATTCCCTGGATCCAGGCCCGCGTCCTCACAGGCACCTCGCTCCCTCAGTTATGCACCTCTCTCTTATATCAGCATCCCTCTCTTCCCTTCCCCGTCAGCAGCAACCTCACTCAGGCTCCTTGATCTTTACAATAGACTTGGTTGATTTTTCATCTCTTGCTCCATCCTGTCCTTTCTGCTTCTCTTTTTCGTCCTGCTTCTGTAATAAGTGGGTGACTTTGTTTCTCTTCCCTTCTTTCCACTCAACTCACTTCCATTTCTCTTCTGGCGCGTCCGTTACAGGACAACTGTCTGACCCAGGCTCCCTGCAGACTTTTTCCTATTTACTCTCCACTCTCATTTGGCCTCTCTGCAGTGTTTCATACTATTGATCGTGCCTCTTTCTTTGCAATTACCACATTTTCCCTCCCCATACTGCAAAAGTAACCTGGGATCAATGCACAAAACACAAGAAGGAAACAAACACAAGAACAAAAACACAAGGCTAGAAAAACACATGTGCTTAAGCATGAAGGAAAACAACAAGAGACACTCCCACCACTTAAAAGTAACCACTCTTTTTTTTTCTGGATTTATTCTTAGATCTTTTTATTTTTATTTTTTTAAATTGAAGTGTAGTTGATTTACAATGGTGTGCTGATCTCTGCTGTACAGCAAAGTGACTCAGTTATACACATATACACATTCTTTTTAAAATATTCTCTTCCATTATGGTTTATCACAGGATATTGAATATAGTTCCCTGTGCTCTACAGTAGGACCTTGTTGTTTTTACATCCTATACATAATAGTTTACATCTGCTAACCCCAAACTCTCAGTCCTTCCCTCCCCCACCCCCCTCCCCCTTGGCAACCACAAGTCTGTTCTCTAGGTCTGTGAGTCTGTTTCATAGATAAGTTCATTTGTGTCATATTTTAGATTCCACATATAAGTGAGATCATATGGTATAAAAATAACCACTCTTTATATTGAGTGTATGT